TCAAACTCTTGGGCTTAAGCGATTCTCTTGCCTCAGCCTCCCAAGTAGCTGGGACTACAGGTGCCTGCCACAATGCCCACCCATTTTTTGTTCCAGTTGTCATTGTTGTTTAGGGCTCGAACCCACCAGCCTCAGTGTATGTGGCTGGAGCTGTAACCACTGTGCTACGGCCGCCAAGCCAATGTTTCACTTTTTCTTAGCAAGGAGAATATATTAATAATTGCTTTTGTAGTTAAAATTAATTAAAAATACCATTTAAAATAATATATCGGCAAAATATAGTATATTATCTGCCACATTTAATAAATAATAAAATATAATTTTGTGAATTAAGTTTTTAGCATCGCCACAGAAAAGAAAACTGCCCAGTGCAAAAACTGCCCAGTGCAAAGAAAACTGCCCAATGATGTTGCACTCCCTGGGTCCAGGGTTAATCCCGTGGGTGGAGCGGCAGGAGGGCGCTGGGCGCTGTCCGAGGTGCTGACGCGCGTGCCCGCGGGCTCCTCGGAAATCAGCCGAGCTGTGAGACCGAGCCGCAGGGACGTTCAAGACCCCCAGACCCCAAACTACAAACCCCAACCGCCCCACCACCACCACCACCCACAACATCACTGTGACCAGGAGGCGGCGCTGGTGGCACAGGGACGGCCTTCGCTCGCTGCCAGGGTCAGGCCCGCCCCCACGAGGCTCCGCCCAGCAGCTGAGAGGCGGGGGCACCCCGGGAGTCTTGACAGCTGGCGGGGGCGCAGACAAAGGCTCCTTCCAGACGGCTCAGGACTGCCCTGCCCCTCTAGGGGAGAAGAATGGGGCCGCGGCCCACGAAAAGAAACCAGGATAGGGGTCCAGACTCATAGGCTCCTGTGTCACCTTACCCCTCCCCGGTGTGTGATTGCAGGCAAGTGACTCAGCTTCCCAGAGCTTCTAGCTTTCTTATCCTTAGCAAGGGGTCAGACCCACCTCACCACACCCTTGTGTTAAAGCACAGGGCACAGTACACAACCCAAAACATGGTGACGACTGTGATTGCCAGAGGAGTGTGTTTGCTTCTGATCATCCTCATCTCCCTCCTCCACCCCACCCTACCCCTAGCCAGTCCCCTTCCTAGCATGGATGGGCTCTAGTGCTAAACCAGACACCACCCTGGGGGGCAAGAGAAGGAAAGCAGTCCTTTTGGCCACCTAGTCAGTTTCCACTGGTGATTGCCAGGGTAAATCTGTCACCTACCCACTGTCTGCAGTACACACTAGCTACAGGAGTGGGAAACAAGAATGGATGAGAAATGTCCTGTCCATGGTGTGGACGCTGAGCAGGCCAATCACCTGCACAGGGCCTGGCCCAGGGGGGCTTGGAACTTGATCTCTGGAGGCCTCCAGGGCAGGAGGGCTACACAAAACCACTAAGCTGCATTACACTGGTTACCACAAAGGGAAGAAGTGGGAAAGAGACACTGTCTTTCATCCCTCAAGAAAATTTACTTCTCTGTTGTTTGCACTGTTAAAAAAGAATCAAATATTAGTTGTTTAAATAAACATAAGAAAAACAACTCAGAAGGGATAAAAAGTAATGGGAAGACCTAAGTGCCACTATGGTAAGCAGCAGAACCAATCTCAGCCCAGAACACTGTCCAGCATTCAGGGGGCTGCCTCTGCCCCCAGAGCCTCAGGAGGAATCTGTGGTGTGGGCTTGACCTCTAGTCCTGGCCCAGCCACACAGGAGGAGGAGGATCACCAGACAGGCCTTAGGACTGCCTACCTCCCCCTCTCCCTGTGACCCCTGCCCCTCGCAGGAGCAGATGGTCAGGGCAGGCCTGGGCCCTGTGACCGCATTAGTGAGCCCTCGGCCCCTCCCATCAGGCACAGCAGCTGTCGGACTACCCTGGGGACCCTCACTTGATCTGTGGCCACTATCCCCCACTATCTCCCTCCTCCAGCCCTCTCCTTGGCAGGCACAGCTGTCTCATGGGGTGATTAGGAATCTTCCAGCTACTGGGCCTCTCCCCTCCCCACCCCTCAGGAGGCACCTCACCCCAAAGCCAAAGTTGCAATTTACAAGTCAGCCACGTGGCCGCCAAACCCAGTAGTAATTAGCTTTTTGTTCCCGCATGGTTTCTATGGCAACAGCCTCCAGCGGAACCCTTCCCCTTCAGGACCTGTCTCCACCCCTGCCTCCTCAAGAGTCCCAGCTCAGCACCATCCTAAGCTGGGTCCCTGGCCTTGGTGCTGACAAAGCCACTGCCCCGCCCCTATGTGGTTTTGAGGGAGACCAGCCCAACCTGAGGCCCAGGGCAGCCCCTGCAGGAGACCGAGCCGAAGGGCAGCCCTGCTCTCAGTCCCACAGTCTGTGTGACCTTGGGCAAGGAACAGTTTCCCAGGACACGACAGGACCTCACAAGCTCAGCAGCGATTAGGTCACCCCGGGAGGCTCCCTTCACGGCCACTGCACCAATATATATGAGGTGGGCTAACTATGGGGGAGCCCTCCACATCCCAGGATTTTGTTTCCACACCCAGTCTCCAGAATGGTAGGCACCGGCGGAGTGTGCAGTCCCGAACGAAGGGGATTTGTCCAGGCGGAGCTGCGCTGAGAGAGAGTCCGGTCCTAGACCAAGGTCACCCTGAGTCCAGGCCCAACCCCTCCAACAAAGGAACAGGGTGGGGCTAGGAAGCTCAGGGCTGTCAGACCGAGGTTAGGGACGGCAGAGCAGCTCTGGCCTCTAGGGTTACATTCTGTTCCTCGAGGAGGGGTTTTGGGAAAAGGAAATCTTAGGGGCTTGGGGGAGAGCCCCACCCAAACCTACCCACTCCACCCATCTCACCGCCTCAAAAAGCGACACGCCCAGAAAGCGCCCCGGAGGCACCTGCAGAGGCACAGGTGTGGATGGACCTGGGTGTTAGCAGCTG